CTGTGCATTCCTTTCCCCCGCCTCCCTGGCTGGATCCCCCACTCACTAGCTGTGAAAGCATGTTGCCCACACCTTCCAGCTCAGTTGTTGGCCTCTGATAGCCAGCGACACATTTTCCCCTCTTCCTTGTAGACAAACGGGACTACATCTGTGAATTTTGTGCCCGCTCCTTCCGAACGAGCAGCAACTTAATTATCCACAGACGGATCCACACTGGAGAAAAACCCCTGCAGTAAGTATTCCTCCCCAACAACATCTTCCAGTTTATTTGTCCTACAACAGAAACGGTGATAAGGATAGCAAAAGACACTCCCCCCACTGCATCAGCCTTCAGCTTCCCAAGGTGGCCCTGACGGCTCCCTCCACAAACTGCTTATTACTGTACTAAGTAAGGCATTGAGTGTTACTGATCTGCTCTCTCTTGCTATTGGCCTCCAGCATGATACCCACTGGGGCTGGAGGAGTGCAAAACAGAGACAGCAGAGGCAACTGCAACTCGTTTTCTACTTGGTCTCCTCTTGTGCAAAATCCGAATACACCATGTTTGCCCCAGCTGGTTGTGAGGGATGCTTGGAGTTCGGTGTGCAGTGCCCCACCTGCCCAAACAGCAAGACCCCTTGGATGCCATAATAGGCGTCTTCTGAATCTATTTTTGTTAATGTGACAAGTCTGCTTCATCAGACATAAGAGGAAGAGATATAACAGGGAAAATATTTATAGAGGGTATGAAAATATCAAAATACAGAGATTGTGGTTGGCTGGTAAGAAAGTCAGTGACTGTTTAACATTATGGGGATAGGGTCTTTGATATGCAGGGATTACATTGAAGCTCGCGCTGTAAAGCAGCAGTTCCCAACCTTTTTGGGACCGTGCGCTGTAAAGCAGCAGTTCCCAACCGTTTTGGGACCGCAGACCAGTTTGGGGGCACCCCTATGGGAGTGCGACATGCACCCCATGCGAACATGGCATGCCCATCGTGGGGGTGGATATCCGTCTCTGCAGCCCAGTTCCGGGAAGCCCACGGATCGACATCGGGCTGCGGACCGGGGGTTGGGGACCCCTGCTGTAAAGGATGTGAGAACCTTGATCGTGAAACAACAGTGGTAAAAGTGAGAGTAAAGGGAGTGCCAGCCGGGCCTCTAAAGGGAGGGCATTCCAGAGCTGAGGTGCCACAGCAGAGAAGTCCTCCTCCTCCATCTCCTCTTTACTTACTCTGTTGCTGTCACTAGCAGGGCACAAAGAAGGGCCTTCCCAGCAGATTCAAGTGGTTGGGGTGATACAACCCATCTGTTCTTTCCTTTTTGCGCAGATGTGAAATCTGTGGATTCACCTGCCGCCAGAAGGCCTCCTTGAACTGGCACATGAAGAAGCACGATGCCGACTCTTTCTATCAGTTCTCCTGTGACTTGTGTGGCAAGAAGTTTGAGAAGAAAGACAATGTCACAGCACACAAGAGCAAGAGTCATCCAGAGGCGGCCGCAGCTGGCCCTCCCCAGCCTGCACAGGGACTTCCGGCCAGGAGCCACCCACTTTCTGAGGAGCAGCTGGAAGACACACTGGGGAGCCAGCCTCGTGATATGGAGAAGAGGATGGATCAGTCTCCCCTTGCCATTACGGTCATCATTGAGTGATCAGCCATGCCTGTCAAGGAATCAGAATGGAAGAAAGGATTCTTGGTCCCTCTTGTTAGCGAGAGATGGAAACGTCATGTGCGGAGTACCAGGGAGGATGCAAAGTTAAGATCCCAGGCTGGTGGGTCTAGAAGATCGTGTCCTCACCAAAGCCCTGCCAGCACCCACCACATTCCTTTAGCACAATTCCAGCAACACAAAGATGGCCCTAGGTTCAGATTAGACCGGTAACAAGAGGATTCAGAGTTGTCCGGTGGGAATCTTCTGGGACACTTCATTTTGTCATGACTAGACACCAATTTTTTGCCCAGACTCCAAGTGGGTAAGGACTCCTAGACCGCTATAACAGCTACATACACATACCTCCCTAAATCTTACATTTTACTGATGATAGCTTTGGATTTAGCTGGTGCGGACTGATGACAATGACAGCGGTGGCGGCGAAGGTGAAGATGTTGATGCTGGTAGTGATGGTGATAATAGAGGAAGATGTAAAGTGTCCTATTGTTAACTTTCAAACCACTCCGGCTTAAAAGATGGCACTCTTTCATATGACCGCACTTCCTCCTTTGTTCTATTCATCACTCCAGTAATTTGCCTTTGTTTCTTCTTGGATAAGTGTGCAGAAAGCAGCCGTGCAATTGCAGCTCACATTAACTGAGCTAAAAGGCACTGAATCTTTGGAACAAAGGCTGCCTTCCACTACAGAGCTATAACCAGGGCCGGAGGTATTTCGGGTTAAATGGATCGGCATTCTGCTCCAGGAGAAGTTGCATTCTGCAATGTGTGTGTGTATTATGCAGTGTTTGTGTTGTGCTTGTTTTTACATAACCCAGATTTGCTTATTGTGGAAAGGGTAAAGTGGTTGCACAGGGCATGTCAGTCCCATCCTTTGGCCCCTGGCAATTTTTATGCAGAGTCTTCCTGAAGTTCATCCACACAAATACTCAGACCTAAAATGTACAGCTGTGAAAAAGCAAGAGAGGGTTGTTTTGTTTTGTTTTTTAAATAGAAGTTACACTTCTCAGGTAATTAAAATCTGCAGCCAGTCCAAGCCGCTGGATTAACTCCTGACTTTCTGCATTGCTATTAAATAGGCACCATTCCAGCTGTGGAGGTCCTCCCCTATCTTGTACAGTGGGGTCTTGACTTGAGAACTTAATCCGTATTGGAAGGCGGTTCTCAAGTCAAAAAGTTCGCAGGTCAAATCTGCATTTCCCATAGGAATGCATTGAAAACCATTTGATCCGTATCTGCTCTTTTCCATCCATAGAAACTAATGGGAAGCTGCTATTCTGCCTTCGACCACTAGAGGGGGATATTTTGTTTCTTTTTGCCTTAGGTCAAGAAAGGTTCAGGGAAGGCAGGGAAAATACAGTCCAGGCAGTACAGTACCAGGCAGTCTGAAGACTGTCTCCCAATCCACTCTCTAAACGCTGGGAGGAGTGAGGA